TTAAAACTACTGCGCTCATCAGGAGGCAGTAATCTTAGCTTTACAGAAAGACTTGAAAAGGGGAAGTGCTTTGCCCTGTTCTGTTCTGGACTGAAAATAACCCTGCCAGTAAGCACCTTTCAATTGACACTAATCAACACTTTGTGTCACACTTGTTTCAACAGAATAAAGACAAACAATAGAAAAATCCGTTTATCTTCTCAGGGTGTTATGTACCTGGTTATTTTGGGTCTTTGTGGAGAATAACATCACAGTGACATCTGCTCTGTCAAAGTTCAGACCGTTGTAAACATTATTAGACATTCTCAATTCCAAAAAGATAACAAACATCACATTTTTATCAATGAATGTGTATTAAATAAGACCAATACAAGTAATTTAGTCCTTCAGATGCTAACACAGTATCTTCCTTTTCCACTTTGCATGTGAATTGTTGTGCAAATCTCTGTCTTACTTGCATGTAAAACATTATTTCTGTTGCTCCTGAGGGCAGCTACCGACCAACAAACCAACCACACTGGTTTCCCAGGAGCTGGCATGCAGCTTCGACCACTACCGCTTAATTAGTGGACTGTGTGCCTGGAGACCCATTCTGCACTTGACCTTTGTGAAAGTAAGGCAAGCAGCACATGTTGGAGAGACCGGAGGAAATGAGGTGAGGGGAAAGGTCTTCACAGCGAGCCTTCATGTGTGACTGTGTTATTTCTGTGAAATGCACAGCTTCTTAATATGAATCATTAATGTGACACCAGTTATAAAGCGATGTCACAGGGACATCGATGACACATACAGAGAAAACCTAAAAATGCATCCATGGAGGATGCAAATGAAATTTTTCTGGTTAATTTTGAGAACAGCTTGGTGTTCAACACAACAGGATAGAGCTTGTTCTGGGAGAAACCTCAGGGAATGGTGACATATTGAAAAAGCGCAACGATGCAGGTAGAGGTGCTAACATGCCATTTTGGTATTTAATGAGATTTCCTCTGGAGGGGTTTCCGGCTGCCAAGTATAAAATCATCTAAAGGGAAGCTTGCTCTTCTCATTGTCCATTGGAAAAAAGGAACATCCTCATTATCCTCCACAGCTTTACCTTATTACAGGGGACAATGAGACGTCAGGATTTAAGTCTTTTGACACTGTAGGCAAGAGGGGAGACTGAATCTAGCAGGAAACAAGCCGTACATACCAGCTGAGATTATCTGGGGGTCTTATCTTTTTGGTAGTCATTGTATTCAGGCTCCTTTTTTTGTTTTTGTGCATTTTTTAGAGGCACAAAAAAATGTGACTATGCTTTCTGGGACACAGCACATTCACAGCTCTTTTTTCTTAGATGATGTCTCCACAATGCAGAGATTACAGACACAGGTTTGTAAAGTGTGTGAAGTTTCAGGGTTGGAGCCACAGTAGAATTTCAATTGGTTTTTCAAGGCAGGAGTTACAAAAGACCTCTTCAGTTTTGATTCTGTGAAAAGAGGTCGCAAAACACATATATATAAATGTTGCCTCATTATTTCTCTCCATTTTAGTGATGGGAGAAAAAAAAGTACTTTGAGATAATTGATTTTATTATGTGCTGTTAGACATTTGTGATGGGTGGCAGAGGTGAATTTTACCTCAGAGTCTTTCAAAGTTCATGACATTTACAACAGCTCCTATGGTATTTACGTTGAAGGTTAGAATGGTCAGTCAGACAGCTTGTAGTTACTCAGTGAACACGTCCTTCCTTTATAATGAGGCACTAATACATTATACATATGAAAGAACACTGTATTTTCATTTCCAAGGCTGCATCTGTGACCCTGCGGGTGTATGCTGCCTTCAGTGCTGCTGACGAAGTATAAAACCGATATGAAAAAAAAAAAAAAAAGCATTTTGGGAAAAGATGTACTGAGCCAAATCTGCAATCAGTTTATTCTGTTTATTGGAGCATTAAGGAGCAGAGATAGACTGATTAATCGGTTGGGTAATAATGGCGTTTGACAAAATTGGCATCATATTTGCACAGACCTTCTCCATTAACTTTCCCAAATGACAAAACAGCTTTCTCATTACCCATCTTTCTCATAACTGCGTGTCATATCTAAAACGGTCACTGCAGGTCAGTATCAGCCATGCTCTGAAGTCAAGAACATTATCTTTTCACTGATTTATTGGAATACATCTTTAACCAGTTACGTGCTGTCATGAGATGTTCAAAAATGAATAAAATAATTTTTAATATTTGTCTTTTGGTCTATGCTTTCTATGTGATTTTGCTGTGGTTCCTGTATATTTTGATCATTTTTATGGTCAAAATCACTGAAAATCCGTGTTTCCTGATCAAAATAACAAGGCCGACGAGAAGAGAGGCAGCATCAGGTAGTGCCTCCACGGCTACACACAAAGTTTATTGAGCGTGTGTGTGCGAGGCAGCACGTGCTTGTTGCCACTGGGAAAAGGCAATGTGCTGTATATGTATCACTTCTTTTTATCATGGTAGTTTTATCACTGTGAGGAACCTTTAGCCAGTATCAAAGGTGCTAAAAGAGGTAATGCTTGTCATTTTAGTGTCAAAATTCTGTGATATAAATATTCATAGATATTGAAAAAAGTTCATCCAAAAGAAGTTGTATAGAAAGTGGCTTTAAACTCTGATAACACATCAAAGTATTCTTTCAGTATCGTACAGTAGCAGTGGTAAGGGAGTGTTTTTTATGCCATGTCATGACGCCCTTGGCATTCTTGGGGGGAAAAGAATAATTAACTGAACTGCGATAAAGTTGAAGCTTTTCACTTTAACTGGCACGTCTGCTGATGGCTCACTTAGCTGCAGACAGCAGCCGACAGGTTAATCAAATTGTTATGAGGAATATCACAAACAAAAGTTTGAATCTGCACTCTTCTACTGCAGGAGCAAGTAGAAATCGAATTTCTTAATATGAAAGGTCACATTGTCACAACTTTGCACATAAGTCCAAGCGTAATCAGATGATGCTGCTCCATGTGTGGCCCTACAGAAGGTAACAAAATAATGACAGTGTCACACCTGTGGAAGAAGTCCCTGTTTCATCATTACCACGGCAATTTAACTTAGCTGTTCCAGCTGGTGTGCTATATTTAGTCTATTATATTACATTTTAATAAAGGTATCAGCAAACCCGCTTAGACAGCAATATTAAAAGTAATGGTTTGGCAAAATATCTTGAATTCAGCTGTTGTTCCCTGGGGATAAAGATTAATCTGTGAAACATCAGATATTATCAGGTAAAATACATATTTATGGGGTGATAAGTCTGTGCTTTCACTGTTCATAATACAGTATAATATATGGATACAGGAAGTGTGTGTGTGCAGTTTGAAATTACCTTCCAGAGACAGCATTGTGTCATAAGGTGCCTCATCTTCCTATATGGTAACATACTGTTAGGTGATGATCAGCACCTAATTGTATCTTATCATTATGTAACATATTATATTGCAATGTATTGTAATGGATCGTGCCCTTCTATATTGTGGCACATCAGATCCTATCCTAATGTATCAGATTATAACATAAAGTACATTACCAAAGATGAGTTAAACAGAGTTCAGTGAAATGCACGCCCATGTGCAGAAGGGGAAATTTGTGTTGTTGAAATGTGACTCTGTCACTACATTGACATTTTTACTACCAGGACAAATATCTTCCTTTAAAAAAATGCTCATAAAGCTGTCTGAGAGGGCTTAGGATAAAATATCAGCTGTTGTTAGAGAAAAAAAAATGACCCTGACTAAAATAAGACTAAATTAAAAACTCCTTTTCTTTGACTAATTCTTGACCTAGACAACACAAGACAAAAAGTAAAACAGGACAAAAATAAATGACAATTTTTAAAATACAACTGAAATAAAATCATCGAAACTAACGTTGGATTTTGGTTCTTCTTTGACTTATTTCTGTGATGTATTTTTGTCCAGATTTGGACCATTCTGCCACATGAGCAAAAACTTCCCTGCTGCTTCTTGTCCTGTGGAAAACAAAGAAGTGCTGTAAGCAAAAATCACAGAGTGTGTCAGATACAAGAAGAACATCTCAGAGTAATTAGGCTTTGTAATTAATTGAATATTAAGCCAAGAAGTAACATGCGGGTGCTTGCAGTTTCAGCAGTTCGGGAAGGTCATATTAAAGTGAGTCTAAATCTAAAGCTGTATTCATAGAGGACACAAACATTACCCTGGGACTTCATTTGAAATAACTGCAGAGGTGTGCTAATCTCACATCTTTAATCTGTCTGCCGTGCATTTGCTGCCATATTTCACAGAAGACAGATACGTCCAGCATAAATTAGCATTTCATCACTTTGGCGTTGTATTTTCCGTGTGCTTCTTTTCGCACACATTCTTTGGTTTTTCTGGCTTTTCCCCTCCCCTCTTTGAGTCGAGAGTTTTGGAGGCTCCAGTGGAAATTATTAATGACAACTCTGATTGCCTTCAGGGTGCAAATTTAGGAGGTTAATCTAGCTGCCTGGCATGGAGGCCCATTTACAAAGAGCACGATCACATCCATCAAGAGAGGAATTTTGAAAGTTAATGAGATCAATGACATGCATGGCAGCATTTGGATAGAGAAGTTTATCATCTTACTGAGTCCGTACAAAACATCTTTGTAACAGTATCGTGGATATTCCTTGGATAGAAGTTTGGGAGTGAATGCTGTGCTTAATTTGCATGTTTAACTCAAATTACAGGAGGCCTGTGTGTAATTATGGGCCTTTTTAAACACTCTTTTTTAGACAAAGTGAAAATGTTCATATAATTCATGCATTCACTCTGTTTTATACACATAAGCAGAAGATGTGACTCAAAGTGTGCTATAGACACCCCCCAAATTAGTGTGCTGAGCTTGTAATGTTAGATCACAGACTGATCAATATCAGGACACAAATACACCATAAATGAGGGGAATACATAATCTGAAGGCAAGGGAACCGCATTTAAAGCTGAGTTTAAGGCAAGCAAATCAGGACATTTCTCAAAAGAAGTGTTGGAATTCATACGTTGCTTTTTATTTTAATGATCACAACAGAAATACAACAAATAATGAACCTTTATCACTGTTAAAGCATCTCATCTCAACTTCGATCTCCTCAGTTACAGTACATTTGCTTTGTAAATTTATCAGTGTTGCATGTGAACTTAAATAATGTAACTGCAGAATAATGAAAACTGTAATTTTATTATTCATTTCACATTTTACCAAAACTTTCCAATCGAACCATTAATTGAGATAAGTCCAGTGGTTCGTTTTGAGCAGAAACAATGAATAAATAAGCAATCCAGTCGATGAATATTCAAGCAGTGTCATTTATGTAGGTGGTGCAGCTTAATGACAGGATGGCTCGGTGACAGTTGCTGATTAATAACTTGGTTAATGTCTTAATGCTGGTTGTCTGCTGAATTCAAAGCCGGGTTGAAGTGAGAAAATGTGGATCTTGTTTTTCTTTTCATAGATCTTGTATATATTTTCTTATAGAAGTGGCACTTTTTATAATGGTATGAAACCATTGATAAATCTATTTTAATGTCTAGAAGGTATAATTTTCTATATTGATTTGGTATAGGTTAATCTCAATAAACTTCTTACTTAAACATTTGTATTTAAACATTTTGCTGATGATACCCTCATTTATATATCACATGTCCAAAGGCAGGAGGCTTCTGGTTCTGTACGACCCTCTTAATCCCACTTGAAGTCCTGTCCAACAGTTTCATAGAACTTGATGTTAAATGACCTGTAAAACTCCTGCAGCTGCTCTATGACCTCCTGGTCAATTTGTACGTGAGTTCTACCTTTGGATTTGCCGAGGCAGCGTGGCTGGCTGCTGCTCTCCGGCTTCTTCAGACAAGGGAAACCTTTGGTTCTGTTAAAGTAGAAGTGCTTGTCCGTGATTATTCGTTTCAGTCCTAAAAAGTCCTGAACTCGTCCCATTTCCCCTGCTGGGTCAGTGATCAGCCGCTCCCCACTCACAAAGTGCATCTGTGACAGGCGGAAGTATTGCAGCCAGTTTTCTAAGTGCAGAATATACATCCCGATGCGAATGGCATTCCAGGAAGAATCGACGAGACCCAGACTCCTGTTCTTAAAGGCCAACTCTTCAAACGTAGGAATGTCAGGCTTTTTGGAGAGAGTCTGTGTGTAGTCAGAAATTGCTCTTGTGACGGGATTACGCACCACAACTATCAGCTTGGTCTCATGGGACATGCTGGCGATGCGTCTGGGTGCCTCTCTGGTGACAAAGTAGCTGGGGGTCTTCTCTAATGTGATCTGGCTGTCCAGTGTTCGTGGCATCAGTCCCCTGAGGAGAGAAACCAAAGAATACAAAAACAAACGTATGAGTCAGCAAGACCATTTCAACACCCTGTTTCTGTGATGACAGTGAAAAAGAGGTTTTAATTCCAGACTGCAAGCACTTATCCCTACTGGTTTCACAAATGACAAGTATCAGAACCAGCCTCAGTATTATCTGTTCTTTCGCTGAGCCAACATTGACAGTAAATCACATTTTAGACAAGTAAAGAGAGAAAGGAACACAATTGTGAATCTTAAGCCTTTCGGCATTCAGGTGGTACAGATGCAAACAAATCAAAAACCAGAAAATATAATCAGCAAAAGATCTGTTTGTCAAATAGAACAAGTCAAAGTTTTCTTATTGTGCATGATGATAGATGAGAGAAAATTATACATACTTTTAAGCCCTGGCTGCATTCCTAATTTTTTAAAGTGGTTATAAAAGTTGCATCATTAAAAGTAAAAACACAAACATTGCAGCAGATAAGCTCTCATTTTATGTTGTTTACTTGTGGATTTTTGTGGCTTGTCAAGTAACACTTGGAGGAAGAAAAAATCCTGTTTTATCAGCTGTTAATATGAATTTCCGATTAATGGAGCTGGTTCACAAGTAAGACTCCCCACCACGAACCTTACAGTGCCCTGTTTACTGGGGACTTTTGATTGATTACTGAGATCGTCGTCGTAGTAACAGATCTACATTTACATCTACCTGAACTGCATTTAGACACTGTATTTTTGGCAAGCTAATATGATGTAAATCTAGGTAGTAACAGCCGTACATTAGTGCAGTCAGAATAATCATAATAAAGGATGAAAACAGTTATAATACAATATTACATGATGACAGTTTAGAGAAATCTATCCTGAGCATAAGGACATAGGAAGATGGCTACTGTGGGAATATGTTGTATTTGTTATTTGTATTGTTCTAATGACTTTCAATTGCCAACACGCCCATGAAGTTTTACACCTTTTGTGCAGTTTGCTCTTGTATTGCGTCTGATCATGAAGGTGAACCATCGGCATCTCTATTTTCTGACTTCAGCCTTTATTTTACCCCTTAAAGTTACAATAGCAATGTCAAGGTAATGCTATTAGACTTTATGTACATGTGTATCATTTTTGAGTTGTAAAATTGTCATGATCACTAGAACTTTAAAAATGTTTTACCACATTATATCTTTTCATTTGCTCAGATCAAACAGGCACAAAAACTGCTAAGTCCCTCTGTGAACGAGGCTGAGGGTATCAAATGATGACAAATGCTTGAGAAATTCATACAGCTGTATAATCCAAACATGCATCATAAATATCACCGCTCTCGATAAATTCAGAAATGACGAGCAAATGTCTCTGGGTGTAGTATTGTTCGATTTCCTCCCCGGAGGAATACGTCATTCTGTTTTGGTACTTTGGCTCAATGAAAGCTGATGGATGATTGTTCGATGCCGGCCGTACAGAGAGGAGAAATGTCTCGGCCATGATTCTGACAGTCAATACTTTGTTTTCTTTCCCGAGAAAATAGACTCTACATTTTTGTGGGAAACAGTACGAAACTGTTGTTTTGATCCGTTCACATTATGATTTGATAAGATATAGTTCCTGGATTTTTCTATTTCACAGCCTGTGAGCTGTGTCTGGATTTTCCGTATACATTCCCCACACAGTTGGATGATTAAATAACACACTTTCTTCATTATAACTGTAAGGGAGCTTCGATTTAAACCTAACCTTTCTCAAAGTTTTCTCTGCAAAGGTAGTGCTCAGCATAGGTTACCTCTGAAGTCTTGGAAATATTGATCCATTTAACTTTATTTATGAATCCTGAGATGTTGGCTTGGGTGCCTTGGGGCCACTAGCGACTATTAATCTTTTATGAGAACAGCACCTTTTCAAGCAAACAGCTTTCCTACACAGTAAAAAAAAAAAAAAAAAAATGCAGGTTTTTTTTGTCCAGGAGGTGCAGAATGTAAACATTGTTTGTTTGTGTGCTAAGGAAACGGGCTTTGTTATCTGGCTGGTCAGTTCATCGCTGAACATTTTCACCATCTTCTGAGAGGAAGATTGTGGAGAAGAGATGAGCTTGTGTGTGTGTGTGTGTGTGTGTGTGTGTGTGTGTGTGTGTGTGTGTGTGTGTGTGTGTGTGTGTGCATGCGTGTGTGTGCGTGCTGGTTCAAACCTGCAACTCATCATATCATAGCATAACCGTTCTGACAGTGTGAACATGTGCAGTGAAAGGTCACAGATGGTTCTGCTCAAAATAGTATTGATATGACTGGGTGCTGCTGACAGGGCGACTGCACACAGCATTTTTCCATATGTACACACCAGAGCATGAGGATAGAGGAAATGAGGAGTTCATAGAAAGACATTTAATCAAATTTAGACTTCACGCTGAAATGATTCACGCCCTCTGACTGCTGTATCCGAACAGTAAGAACTGAAGTCAGCCTGTCCGTCAGAGGAAGTTGCAGCATGTCCTGACTTTCCTTGAGTTATTGATTTTTACAACTGTGCTGTTTGTTTCCTCCCAGTGAGGCTCAGCTCAAGAGAAAAACACGACTTTAACACAAGATGAAAAAAAAAAAAAAAAGTACAGCTGACACGTTTCAGTATTGGAAGCTATAGTGTACCATTAGGACAGATGTTTAAAAGACGTAAAAAATAATAAATATGGTTGTTAAAGCATGAATGCGTTATTTTACTCTCAATGTTTTGACTGTGTGCTGTAAGCAAATCAATGCTCTTTTTTGGCTGACCTTTTGCTCACAATCACCACCCCAGAAAAAGCAACACTTTTTGTCTTTTCACCATTTCTTCACATTAACTTCTCTGAGCTTATTATATAGCAACCATGGGTGGGTATCACCCTGAGATCGCAGTTTGTCAAGTTTCTCTGACTAATGCTGCTAGAGGCAGACTTGTGTGTTGATGTAAGATGTGAACTTTGACCCCACAGTGTAATGCAACTTTGAGGCTGACTATGTAATCAGCAGTTGACTAAAAATAGGATGATGTACCATACAGATATGTGAACAAATGAGCAGTGTTTTCTGTTGTGAAAATGACTCTGCAGGATGGTGACAGTTTTTTTTATATCAAAATATGACATGACATGGCTAAGGTCACGCTTTTTAACCAATCCTAATAGTGCAAAAATATAGACAAAAAGAATTAATAACTAATTAATCAAGATTTTATTCATTTTCAAGGTTTGTCTGTTTGAAGGATTCTTTGATGTAGGATCTTTTTCCAGGTACAGAGCGATACTAAACTGTGCTTTATCAGGAATTTATCATCCGCATACAAGTCATCTTGATGCTGCTGATCTTAAGATTCTACTTTAAAGCATCTTAACATGCCGAATGCTTCACTTATTTTCTCAGCAAACTCAAAAACATAGTAACCGCATTCTCACTTATATATTTTCAACATCTTTCTCTCGTTCTTAAGATAGCAGAGCTCAGACTGAAGGGGAGCGTGTGATACCTCAGGCAGGTGTCTCAACCTACCAGCAGGTTTTTTTTTTCTTCCTTCTCATGCCCCCAAGAAAGTACCAGCACTGAATCTGAAATTTGGAGATAAAGCTGGAGGTCTTTATGGCAGAGGGTACTGGTGGTGGTTATTATTATTTGCAGTTTAAAAATCTACATGATTGTAATTCCAATGGAACCGCCTGGAGAGTAATCACACTGAAACTTTAGCTTCTTAAAAAGTACGCATGTATTGCTATTGGTGGGGGTGGGCACTTTAAAATGCACTTTTACATGAGCAGCAAGCTGATTTTACACACACACATATACACACACCTTGATTAAGTGACATTTGAGCGAAGTGCTCTGATTGATTACCACCTTCTCACTCAGAGTCAACACGATGAAATCCTTTTGGGTAATCTACAGTCTTCCTCATGATTCTTGATGAAATTTAAAGTCGGCTTGTATTACAGGCTGGGCTGTGACATTTTAATCACTCTGGGAAAATGAACTCAGGTGTGGACGATCTGCTCAATACTGTAGAGGAATAAATAGAGAAACATGGTGGAAAGTTAATTCGTTCTGGTCACTGCAACATTTCAGTTGAAGCTGTAATTGCACACATCGTGTCAGTAATTTGTGCAAAATATTGCAGACTTAATTCTATTAAGGCATGATTGAACGGAGCGTTTCCCTAACATGATCAGGATTTATGTTTTCTAAGATAAATTTTTCTAATTATGCCACCAGTTCAATATTTCTCCATAACCAACATAGCTGTTATCAACCTGGCTCATTTATATTCATTCAACAGGGGGGTTATTAACGAGCCCTCACACATCAAGAAAACGGCTCATATTTGATTAATCTTTTAGAAACTTGTTACCAACAGTATGTGATATGGCATAAAGGGGCATCCCAGAGAGGCTGAGCCTTTCTGAAGCAAAGACCAGGAGGGGTTCACCTCTCTGTGGAAGACTGATGAATACAGTAAGTTACTGTATTCACTGTCAGTAACACTTCAAGAATTATGTCTCACAGCAAAATCTGCTTAAATTATTGAGTTTAATACGATTCTGTTGCAAACATCTCAGTAAAAACTGATTCTGTGTTCAGCATTCAAAGAAGAAATCCCATTTAAATTTATTCGAGAAATACTTGAGACCTTTCTGGCCCTAAGTCCAAGGTGGACCAAGACATCAGGGAAAAATAGGGAATCATCATGTCCCGTTAAAGAGACTAACCACAGTCTTTTCTTGGAGACCCTGAGCTACCTCATGCTGTAGGTCCCTCTAGATTGCTGTCCTGCTGCTGTGGACCTGCCTGCTATCCATCTGCTTTAAAGGGATATTCCAGTGTGAAATTAAGTTTGGGTCAAATACGCCGCAACACCGAGTTAGACACCCCCTCGAGAGATGAATGCTGGCGACTGCTGGCTTCTCTAGTTATACCAACTTTAGTAACGACCAGGATAGCAATACACAGCTGTCTACGTCTCCATGTGCAGACCTCAACCAAAAAGTCACTCTATAGCCCCTAACTTCATCAACAGTACATAAAGGGTCCCAGCCATAGTACTAGCCATCAAACATCTTTTTAGCTTTGCCTGGTGTCTTTAACGAAGAGACCAAACACAACTCACCCACTCAGCCGCTTGTTTGTGGGGGGAGCCCTGACGAGTCGATCACAAAGTGCAGCGGAGTTTCACAGCTCAAGGAGGAACATTTATGATTATTACTTTATTGAAATACAGTCAGACCAAGACGCTAAGGCAGAAGAACTTCTGTGTCTGCAGTGCAAAATGATTAATATAATGATTATTACTTCAAGGAAATGATTCGCTGCACTCAATGATTGACCACTGAATTGACTGAATTGATGATTGAACCATTATTATCACTGTATCGAAGAAAATCTTGAACTTATTCGCATCAGTCTGAACATTTTGACTCTACCCCACCACTTACCTCAACTCCATTATGCTAATACTGCTATGCTTTTACTAAACATGTTGAGTCTAATTTGCTATAAATCAAACAAGGATAATTTAAATATCATCAACATGCTGTTCTGGTAAATAGTAAATGTAAACATAGACATACTTCCACTAGAGGAGCCATCAGGATTGTTATCAGGGCACAGTTCAAAGCAAGCAGCTGGGATAGCTAGGTTGCATTAGTGAATATAGGTTGGGTAACCTGTTTATTAAGGAAAACATGAACAATATACACAAGTTTTGGTTCATCATGCTGCCATGTAGTTCATGAAGAACCAGCTTATTTTTGCACGACAATGCCGAACCGCATTCTGCATGAACAACAACATGTATGACTTTATTTTGAAAGGATCCTGCTTGCAGTGACAACCTGTCATCCTTATAAACAAGAACAGAAAAAACATTTCACTTTCAAAATAACAGCAGTAGGTTTCATTCGGTTCGCCGAGGCTTACAGTGCTGTCAAAAGAAAAGGGAATGAAACAAATAAACAACATAGCCCTGTCCATTTTTTTAAGTGTTACTGCCATCAAATTTAAAATAAGCTTGTAATTTTCCAAACAATGAAACTTCTCTTTTGCAACATCTGATATGTTGTCTCTGTGCTACTTCCACTGTAAATATTTGATCAATCTTTATTTTAGCTCAAAGAGAAGGGAGACAAAAGTCCTGATGAACCAGCATCCCTCTATGTCTGTAATCTACAGGTAATTTTTCAATGACTGTCGTTTCGTCCTCTGCTGACCCACTCCTTAATGAGCTGCACAATGCTTAAAGCCAGTCTGCATATAGGACTGACCCTGAGAGAACCTGCTCGCTGTCTTGCTCAACACTTTATCTCTGTCAGTGGAGTGCAAGCAGAAGTTCACGCCGAGTTCCCTCTGGACGCCATCATTACGGAGGAAATAGAGGGAGAAGCCGCCAACACGGATGTCTTTATTCCACAGTCTAAAGGAATCCCAGTTAAAGCCACATACACCGTCCTCCTGCAGTGAGCAGCTCTGCTACTCTTTATTACGGCACAGCAAACATACCACCTCAGGTTTTACCTAACAACATCGAAACATTTCTTCACTGTATTTTGAAACATTTGGAGTATTTATCAGCTACAGATATTGACGATTCCTATAATTTTCATGTGTTGCTCTATACCCGCAAATTGAGCAGATGTTTTACAGCCAATGGACTTCAACTTCCCATGAGCCCCTAAAGGTTGTGGCCATTTATCTGTGGTATTCAACTAATTAAACATTTAAGCGGCACTAATCTGTGTAATGAGGAGAGAGGAGAAGTTGGAGCTACATCAGACTTGGTGTTTTACCTTTTAGGGAGGGAAAGATCTGAAGACGATGAAGTAGAAGGATCAAAAAAGGGCCAAGAAGGTTATCGATTAAAGTAACATAATGTTCATCACCCTTTTTTTTTCTTTGACTCTCTTTAAAGGGATGTTCTGGCATAATATTAAGTTCGGGTCTTGCTTCTCTAGTTATACCAACTTTAGTAACAACCACACAATAGCAATACACAGTGGTCTACGTCCCCATGCGCAAACCTCAACCAAAACGCCACTCTATAGCCATAAATAATGCTCAGAACAGCACCTAACTTCATCAACAGTACATAAAGGGTCCCAGTTATAATACTAGCCCTCAAACCTCTTCTTAGCTTTGCTTGATTTCTTTAGCAAAAACACCAAACACAACTAACCCACTCTCCTCCAGCAGCTGCTTGTTTTTGAGGGGAGTCCTGACGAGTTGATCATCAAGTGCAGCAGATCATTTCCTTTAAGTAATAATCATCATATTAATATTTTTTCACTGCAGACGTGGTAGTTCTTCTACCTTAGCATCTCTGTCTGATTGCATTTCCATAAAGTAATAATCATAAATGTTCTTCCTTGAGCTGTGAAACTCCATAGCACTCGGTGATCGACTCATCAGGGCTCCCCCGAAAACAAGCGGCTGCTGGAGGAGAGTGGGTGAGTTGTGTTCAGTCACTTTGCTGAAGAAATCAGGCAAAGATAAAAAGATGTTTGTTGGATAGTACTATGGCTGGGACCCTGTATGTACTGTTGATGAAGTTAGGTGCTGTTCTGAGCATTATTTGTGGCGATAGAGTTGCTTTTTGGTTGAGGTTTACACATGGAGACATAGACTGCTGTGTATTGCTCTCGTGCGGTTGTTTCCAAAGTTGGTATAACTAGAGAAGCAAGCAGTTGCCAACATTCATCTCTCGATTTTATAAATGTTCTTAATTTTACTCTGGCATATCCTTTTAATGATCTCTTTTTTAAAGCCTGGGTTTATAAGATCAAATAAAAAAGACTGCACTATCCATTTAACATGGAGGAGGCATGACCTATGATGCAGACAGTCTTTTATGCAGCAGTAAGTGTGGATGACCTGTATTGTTCATTTGATGGTGATCTGACTTTACAAGTGAAGCTGTAATCTGGTCTCTTATCTCTGTTTTTCAGCGATGTTCCTGACAAAGGCCTGCACTGATTCTTGTGCTGCTCTGTCAGTGCGCCTTTAACAATACCTTTAACAAGAAAGTATGTATCTTCAAATCATTCATTTTCTTTAACTGGACAGGAAAAAAGACCCTGCAATCATCCAACAGCTGCTGGGGGAAAAAGAAAAAAAAAAAACTCCAAATGAAGATGTAAAATCCTTCCTGAGCTCAAACCCATATAGCAGAGGGATTTCAACAGAGTGCAATCCAAACCCTCTGACACAAACTTATGAGAAAAAATGGACTTCACAGCTTTCTACAGGAAGGCTGCTGAGGAACATAACGGTCTGTGATAAATCCCCTCCCCCAGCTTTTACAGCTGTATTTGACGCTGAATATATGTAAATCAAAAAGGTGCAAATTGCTGCATCATCCTAAGGTATGTGCATGTTTTCTTTCACATTGTGAGGACAAACCACACAGTGACATTGCAGACTATTCGGTTTCCGATGAGTGAGTCTTTTTAAACAACCTCAACTTTGTAAAGAGCAGCTCAGGTTCATCAGGGATGCACAACGCCGCAACAGGTAAAGGTCAGCTTTGGATCATCTCATTGTGAACAATCAATGGACTCAGAATTTATTACTGTCATTTCACTGAGGGTTGAACTTAAACCAAAATGTTGCACAGTGTGAGTTTGAGACAAGTTCCCTGCAAATGTTTGCAAAAACAAAATTATCATGCAAAACAGCAGAACGCTGAATCCAAGTCACGTACTGAGAAGAAAGGAAACTTATCTCTCTGTAAGATGTATCACTAATAAACAATGTACAAAGACAAGGCTGTGAGTCTCACCTATGAACAACTATGAATCATAATGTAAGGTGTGTCCACTGGGACTAAGAGATGCAGGTAAGAGTCTTTACCTCCTGCTGGACCACAAATATTTGTCATCAAAGGCCTAATAATGAGCCCAGCCCATTAATATCAGACTGACTGTGGAGATGCCAGAATGAGAGGATTCATGGCCTGCAGTGTTTGTTTGGTCCCTGAGGTGAATTAATGAAAAAAAGAGTAACAAAGTAAATAAAAGAAAAGTCTCTCAGGTTCTGGTTGCCTGTGTGTTTGTACAGTTAACAGTATGCAGACAAAAAACAGTCACAGCCCTGGTGTCCAATTCACTATCATTAAATATTAAGGTTGCAACTCTTTGTAATCTCTTCAGATTCAATAGAATTTAACCGAAAGTGTCTGACAGGACAAATGAACCACAATCATTGAAACTATTTTTATTGCAATAGTTAGAAAATAACCTTTTTTTGAGACCCAAACTAGGGGTGTCCCGATACAACTGTTTTACTTCCAATACGATACTGATATACGAGTCTTTAGTAATGGCTAATATATATTGATCCCATATAAGCATAAACTTGTGAAAGGCACGTTTTGCACTCAGCTGCAACTTTTTTTTTCAGACTTAAAACAAGAAATACTGCCACACGGCCGACATCACTCCTACTCCTTGCTACCTTGTTTGTACCTTAGTACGCACTTTTTTTGTGATCATGTAGGCTCTGCATGCTAAGTATCAGGATGCCAAGATAGAGGTGCTGCTTGTATCTGAGTGCTGATGTCAGAGATTTTAAATTCAGGCTGATATAATCAGTTTTTTTTTTTTTTTTTTCTGATATCGGACCTTTATCCAATATCAAGCCAAACCCTCCATTTATGCTGTGTCTGATCTTACCTGAGTCATTAATATCATCACTGATGTCGGCTCTGTTCTTTCTTGTAAGCATGCACATAACAGAGTGGAGATATGCTCTCCCTGCTGCAGGCTTTGCCAGGGCAGGGACCATACCACCTTTTTGCAATTTGATATGTTTCTGTGCAGGTTTAATAATAAAAACAACAACCCTTGGTTAGCTTACCAAAGGTGAGCAGATGTAGCACTGTGATGTTACCCATCATGGCCCTGGTATCATATTCTGCATCTGAGTAAGTGTTTATGTGACTAAACCTATGTACCACGGACTGAGTATGAAGCAGCTGGGATGAGAATCAGCGCCTCCGAATCTGAGTCCATGGTTCTTAGCCAGAAAAACGGTTGAGGATTGGGGATAAGATCCTGCCCCAAGTGGAGGAGTTCAGTATTTTGGGGTCTTGTTTACAAGTGAGGAAAGAATGGAGCAGGAGATTGACACTGTACAGGTCTGTTGTGGTAAAGAGGGAACTTAGCCAAAAAGCAAATCTCTTAATATATCAGTTGAGCAACATTCCTACCCTCACCTACGGTCACGAGCTGTGGGTAGTGACTGAAGGAACAAGATCACAGGTACAAGTGGCTGAAATGACTTTCCTTCACAGGGTGGCTGGGCTCTCCCTAAGAGATAGGGTAAAGAACCTGGTTAATCAGGAGAGGCTTGGAGTAGAGCTGCTGCTCCCTCTGAGAGGAGCCAAATGAGGCGGCCTGGGCATCTAATCAGGGTGCCTATTGGGATTGCCTCGGGTCCCCCAAGAAGAGCTGGATGATGTGGCCAGAGAGGGGGAAGTCTAGGCTTCCTTACTTAGGCTGTTGCCCCTGTGGTAAGCAGTAGAAGATGGACCACAGACTGTATAATAACTTGGACATAGCGTCCATGACTTCATCCATTTGTTTCAAATCAAACTGGCGGCTATCACCATAGCAGTATTGCTGGCTCAACCTGACTCACAAATATGTGATTTGACTGCCTGCCTGTTAGTCAAGTCTCTGATTCACCGATCTAGAAGTGAACCATGGGTGCTGTCGGAGTTCCAAGCTACTCAGACCAAAACTCTAATTTGAACCTGGCTTTAAATGTTAGTTTTTGCTCTATCTTTGTCTCTTTTTTTCCGCTCAGTGTTTACATAGTTTCCAGTACCTCTACAACCAGCCTCAAGGAGGAAGTTATAAGCACTTGTGCATTGGCTTCATTTCTTCAGACAAGGGTTGCTGCTTGACATGCACCCAATTGAACTTTTTATCTGTAGTCTAGTCTATCCAAAGGAAGCAGAAGTTACCAGCTTTTGACTCCACTGATCCAGCACAGCGCTCAGACTTTTAGATCACACCACGATGATCTGAAGATGAGTGTCACACCACCACTCAGGAATTAATGGCAGACAAACAATGGAAAGTGGAATCATTCACAGCGCTGTGTTCAGAGAGTTTACAAACTTGGCACAGGATGAAAATGATCATCTTGTCGGGCTACAGAGTCTCTGAAGAATCCGAGGCCAAATTTTCTTTCCACACTTTTAGAAAGCAGCTTTCTGACTTTCACACAAAGCATTTGTCCTGAAAAAGTCTTTAAAAGCCAAACCACACACTCAGACTTTCTCCCTCCAGTCAAACCCATTACTAGTTTGTATTACTCAGGTAGACGGTGCAGGGGAAATGTCCTTGTGCTGCATGATTCTCATAATGTCTGCCTAAAAATGGCATCTTCCTTCAGCTCCCCGGGTATGACAGCACAGATTCAGTCTCTGGTAAAGAGGCTGCTCTATTATTAAAGTATCACTCACTCAGATTACAGCTGTGATGACATGTGATCATTAATCACCAGAAACAGAGGCCGCGCCGCCATGAAAGTCGATTAGGAGTTAACAAAGAGCGGTCCAGAGGAATACAGCAACCCTGTGGCCAATTCAGCCGGGTGAGGAACAGAGGGGAATGACAATCAGAAGAGTAGCGCGCTTATTTTTCTAATTTAATTCACAACAAATTGGTTAAAGATAACAAACCAGCTAAGCCAGATGTCTTGGTGTAAAGAAGCAGTTTTGACATGAAGCCTGCCCTCGGCCAAACAGATTCAAAGCAGGACAATACAGCTCTGTGATGGTGGGGAAAAAAAATTTGCATAATGTATTTAACCTTGAACCAAAACCCATTTAATCGCTGTCATTTCAACACTGGGCTCATGTATCTTTGAAATAACAATTATTCATGGTTTGGCGTGCAGAGAGAGATGACTGACACTTGCTCTCCTTGAACAATAAATGAGTTGAATTGAGCTGAGCTATGAGCTGTCACATTAACATGTGGTGGCAGAAAGTATTCACTGACACTTAAATGAAACACTCAGACGATGGAGAAAGCCGCTGAAATCTAACGAAGCATCCTCAGATGATGATTGTCCCTTATTTTGTTTCATTTTACGGGAATTTACAGCCGATTCCAGCCAAGGACCACAGAAAAACAAATCTGTAAAGGAGTTTAACCATGCTGTACTATGCGTAACAAAGATGTTTGATGAACTTACTGTTTATTGTGACACTACTAATGCTTTGATTTGCAGATGACAGTGCTTTTTACAGCAGCACCTTCACTAACATGCAGACGGTGCTCGAATTTCACCAACTTTGGAGCACAAAGAAGTTGTCTCTGGATGTACAGTTCAGCCTCCAGCAATGTGACAGTCAAGGGTATTTCTAAATTGAGAGCCGACAGTGCACACACCTTAAGTAGAATTTTTCTTCACTAAGTTAGTGGAAAAGTACAAAAGGACGGAAGAAGTGGAGGCTCAGGAGGGAAAGCTTAGACAGAATCTGATCTCTTGGTCTGAGGGGAGGGGCTGACAACCTCAGAGTGTAAACCCAGGATCCTGATCGCAACAATCACAGTAGCACTTTTCATATGTATTCACTCCTGAACATTTCTACACCCACCCGTAACAGAAAAAATGTATAATGTGCTTGCTCACTCTTAATACCCAGGCAGAGATCATTACTAATACCTCTGTAGGGCATTTATAGAGGAACAAAGCCATTGGCAGGAAGATTGACTCTCTGTTTGTTGTCTTTTACAGCCCTGCCAATAAGTCATAGTTTGATAACAAAGATGGCCGATGTGTTTGAAAAATCTATGGATGTTTTATGTTTTGACAGATAATTCAGTCAGCACAGGAAAACAAGGTTCCACTTTGTCCACCAGAGGTTTCAATATTAATACAGAGTTGTATCTTCTGACACGTACGTTCACCTTGCCTCATTGAAAATATCACCATGTGGATTACAATGAGGCTTTTGAACAAAAAAAGGTTAGATTTTACCATTTCTCAACCAAACTTTGGTTGACATTATCAGGCAGTGCAGGATAATGTCATGGAAATACAAGATCTGTCCACAGAGGTCAAACAAAAACTTCAATAAGGTTCCTTGTAAAGTTTGTTTCTGTTGCTGTTTTGTGCATAAATCTTAAAATCCTCAATTAAAATTTCTATGTTTTGAGCAAGATGTGAAATTAGCTTGCCAACATGTTCAAAATGGCTTTGCTATTATGTAGGGTGACCATATTCTGAATCTCCAAAAAGAGGACACGACTATGCGGGACGCAGTCACGTAGTCGCGTGTAATACATTTTGAGAGTTTTTCGGGTCGGGTCAAGTATTGTTTTTTTATGTGCTTCTATCTCAGCAAGTCCACACAACACAAACTCAAAACTTCCAGACATTTGAAGGATTTTATAAACTCCCCCAGACAAGCCCCAAAAAGAGGACGTATGGTCACCCTACTATAAAGCTAATGCAGAGTTGTAGCATTTGTCTTTGAGGGTGCTAGCATGCTGGTATCAATGCGCAGTTTTAAGCTAAGGGGTCCCTGAAGCTACAGCTGATTAACCCGGGATTTCCACTGCACCTGGAACAGCTCCGATCCAGAATGTTGGCAATTTTTGCCGTCCGCCAGTTCCTATTGGATCCATTTGTGAGACAAATTTCGTGGTAGATTACGAACAGCGGTATTCATGAGAATCATGAGTGCAATTCCGCAATAACAAGTTGTCTTTAGCCACATAGGCTAATCATATAAGCAGTGGATTGTGTCCTTCTAGAGGAGGAAATCTACTTCTAGACTAATAAAATCAGCGTCCTCTCATCCATGGTTTCATCGGGATAAAATGCTGTCTATAAACCCTTCACTTGTTCGTATCTGCCCTTTTGCATGGTGTGAAATACGATCCGCCTGAAACACAGAGTGTTTTATTTTGAAAATAGGCAGGATGTTTTATTTTGTGTCTGTGCCCGACTTCTTTCCAGCACAGGTTAATTTGTGCTGAATTTATCTGGCATGCTCCGGCGTCTAGAAAAATAGAACTCTTGCTATCAGCTGCGGAGTCTGGGGATCCGCAGCGGAACGGAAAGAAGCTGGTAGACATTGACTTGAATGGTTACGATCAGCTACGATCTGCAGATACGGCCTTTTCATAGCCGTTCTGGATGCCATGGAAATTGCCAGTTAGTTTGTGGGAATTTGAACATATGCAGCAAAGTTAATGCTTTTTGAGTTACTTCAGAGGCTGACTGAGAGGCCGGCTGAACTGGCACCAATGGGTTTTTCATTTTGAATGTTTGCATGTCTACAATGTTTTTATTAAATCATTCCATAGCACGAATAAAAGCTCTTTTTCTCTGTGTTTGAGACCAGCTTCGTTTGGGGAAACATCTGAAAAAGAGATGTTTGGTAATTAATGTTAACCACTGCATGTCTCCGAGCTGCACTGAAATGAAGACAGCTCATTAATAATGCAGTATTTCGACTTACCATCCCCCGCTGTATAACGCACAGTTTTCTGTGTTAAATGAGAACCATCTAACTTTCTGTCCTCATCAACCTTTCTGATGATACTGTTCCACAGCTCCCTGCCTCCCCAAGCCAATTAATGTGGACCAAGAGAATATTTGTAGCTGTAGCCTCTCAAACAATTTCAACCCTTCTCTGGGAATCTACTGGAAGTGCTTCTGACTCCTGTGAAATCAATAGATCTGAGATGCCCTTTTAAGTCCTGATAGTGTATGGCGACGTGTTTGTGTTTGATCTTTACGATTCTGTGGAGAACAGGAAAAAGTGGCGAGAGAAGTGGGAGGAAGTAAGTGGCAGTGAGACGAGTGTTTTATCAGGTCTTGTATGGTTATGTAGACACACTCACACAAAATAAATGAGGCCATGTGTGTGTTCTGTTCAAGAGGCGCAGTAATGAACACTGCACCATTTTTCTTCTCAGCCTAAATGATCTGTCACACGCTTAATGTAACAGGACACACTGAGCAGAGCAACCGACCAGGGCACTGGAACAGACCATTAATTGGGTGTCACATGTTATATGTTCCTGTCTGCACTACAGTTAGCAGCTGTGAAGAAAAAGTTACAAAAAAATAAAATAAAGTTTGGACTGTCATGAATGGAACTCTTTTTCAGTGTTGAAGATGTGTTTTCAAGAATTAAAAGCTGAAGGAAAGTCAATAAATTACTTGGAGCCACAATTTTTTAAAGGCCTAACATAATCAGAAGCAGAAGTCAGAGGCGGCTCTGGCCTTTTAAGCTCCCAAAGGCCGGTTAAGACATAGCTAGACTGTAATACAGCTGGAGCATCACAAACCCAAAAGGTGCAGGAGAGATCCATTTCATTGATTGGAATAACAACAGTGTCCTTGGATTGAATACATTTTAGGCTTAACTTGATTACAAACACTATCTGCTGGTTTCTATGATTTATGGGTTTATAGTTAACTTTTGCTATTTTAAATCACGCGTGTCCAGTGCTATAACAGCAGCTTTGATACCCTCATGGATAAAATTCTGCATGAGCAACAGGTTGTTACATAAAAATCACTAAAATATGCAGCCGAGATGCTCGCACAACCAATCATTCCTGTCAGTGTTTAAAACTAGGTTAAATCTGAACAGCAGACTCATGATGGTTCTCCTACTTGGATTAAAACTCACTGTTCTCTTCTGCATACAACTTTCACACCAGTATGATGTATCTGTGGTTGTAGCAACACACATACGACAGACAGAGAGAGTCAGTGCGTTTACATGTACAATTCAGTAAGATATGGCTATAGCTCACTTGGGTGATTTGACTGGACTACTGTCCTTGTTCTGGTTCACAAGTACTGGGCAAAAGTTGACTTACTGACAGGTGATGACATGCCTCCTTTCAGTTCGTTGATACTGATGTTTAATTTAGTGCAATTTCAGTCAGACTAATGTGTTAGCATGTTTAGTAAAGCTTAGTTTCACTCAGACTAAGGCAAGAGAGTGATGTTTTCGAACAACATGTAACCATACTGACCAGCTTCACAGTAGTCAGTTTCTTTTTGTGTTAAATACATGGGGTAAAAGTAGGATATGGTTCTTGCAGGTACTGTACACATAGGCTTTGTACAAGAGGAGCACACCCAAGTTTAACAAGATGCCGACTCTGATGCCACAGTATCATGATCTGCTGCATCTCTCTTTCTCTTGAACATAAAATCATTTTTTCTCTGCATTTTGTGATATTTCTGCATTTAGATTGAAGCAGCTGTCTTTTCAAAAGTTCCCTCCTTCTGCAAAAGGTGAGAGGTGGTCCCCAGCGCCTAGGCAACCATCGTCCAATTAAAAGTGTGCACTGAACGCTCCCACTTCTGGGAAATTGGTTTGTTTGCGGAAGCAAATACGACTCACTTGCAAGCAGCATGGTCTTATTGGATTACTACGGTTGCAATGCAGAGTGCAGACTGATGTGGTAGGGTAAGCAAATGTATCCTACATATACTGCAGGGTTGAAAGTTTGCATACCGCTGCATACCAGCTGTAAACTGCTGTTTATGTCCTCCTGATACAGCGTAACGCTGCGTACCAGCTTACTTTCACCCTTGATAATACATCATTCAACCCTGGTGTAGCAAGAGCTACCATACGATAATGACGTCATGGACAACTTTTTAGAGACTTCTGATGTACACCGAGGTTAGAAAGAAAGGACTTCTCCTCTGGACTCCTAATTCACTGTAGCTGTATTTGCAGTCCAGCTGACTTTATGTAAAGAAAGGTCAAAAAGCCAACATTTCAATGTAAATGTCTGTTTGTAGAGGCAAGGACTGATGCCAAATCCATGTTAGATGACTAGCAATGGCTGGCTGTGTAAAGGACTGTCTTCATGTGTATTACCAATACCCACGGAAACACTTTTGAAGTCTGCCCTTTGTACTACAAACCAGAACACTTTCCAAAATTTGCTCTTAGGTTCAACGTTTTGGGGCACAGTAAACTGATTTTAAACAGTAGTTTCCGCATTGTTAACATGTAATCTCATCACACCAATGCATGCTGGGACAAGCCTGCTAATTGAAAAAAAAAAAACAGCCTTTAGGGATTCATGTTATAGATTAAGAATTGTACACAAATTACAGCAGACACTAACAGTTCACCAATCTTAGGGAAAGAGTGGTGAGCCGTTCTAGTCCACCTTGGCTCATGCCATAATCTGGTCCTGGTCAAGGTCAATAGTAAACCTCCATGTCCAAATTATTTAGTCTCATTATTAACAAATTAATCACTGCAATTATAGCAACCAATTAATCTCTGAAGTCATTTAATAACTGGTGGGTGGGCCTGCATGACTATACTGCTCATTACACACCAAGAATAATAATGACATGCGCTTCTTTATTTCATCAGGGGTTTTTTAATGTCCTCTCTGGGCTCCAAGTTTCAGAGTTCTTTTCTTATCTATGACCCTGAAATGAAATTCATGTCTCATGCATGGCTTTGTTTCAACTGCTTAAGTTGCTCTTACATGATGGCCGTTTGTTTGATGACTTCGTTGGTTATTTTGAATCATAAGTTTATCGTATGGCTAATAATGGTGTCTGATCTGCAACAACCCAATCAACCTTCATTTGGAGGAATGTGCTGCAGGATCAGGGGTCATGAAACAACAAAAATACTGGAGCTGCAAGATTGATAGAGCTCCTTAGCAAACGTATGTGTGTTGGTAGCCTGAACTTATCAAATGAGGCATTGTGCATTGATTTGGGGAAAATTGGCTTCTGTATGGAAACAAACTTCATTGTAAATAACGCTGATTTTCAAACTGCAGTGCTGGACTCAAATTTGAGTTAATGGTGATTGTGCTGTGGGATTTTGTGTTTGTTTTGTTTGTGTCGTTTCCATAGACTGTATGTAGAATGGACAGAGTCTGCCTCCTCGCTGGGTTAAGCCACCATGAGAACAGCACCCTCTGGTGACGGGCTGCAGTATAGGTCATAAATCCCACCTCCTCCAGCAATTCTTATGAAGCTGTGGACAAACTTCAGAAATTAATTACACAGAATATAATTTTTTCTCCCCCCTGCTTGCAATGTTAACATGTAGTTGAAGGTTGGTTGATAGTCTAATTAATTAATTAATTAAACAGATATAACTTTGCTACTACTGGCAAGACATAGATTAGCAATGCACAAAGCAGGGAGACACACATTGTACAAAGACATTATGATCCTTTCTTTCAAAAAAAAAAAAAAAGTGCCAGTCCATCAAAACGCAAAGACACTGTGACAGATAATCACTGCAGGCCGCTTGAATACACTGACCATCATCCAGTCATCATCAGGTTGAATAATAAGTTTGTTCAGCTGTATTTAAACCAACCCTTTATCTGCAGTGTTGTTAAAGCATTTACTTTGAGAGTATAAACTGTCAGCCTGTCTGAAATGTGCAATGTTCCAGCTTTGTAACTTTCTGCAAGCAGCAAATGTATTTTTGCAACCTTTGTGTAGCTCTGCTTGACTTTGGAGTGACAGAGAAAACCACAATTTTAAAGCCCAGACCTTCTGGTCTAAAAGTTTGCATGCTGATGAAGTTAAGTTTGGCTGTTGCTTCATAAAGCTGCAGAATAATGGGCGTTTCATTTTGTCTTGGTCTGGTGCAGTCTAATCGTTGGAACAGAAAGAGTCCATTGCCGTGAAATGTCATGAATGTTTGAAAGGACAGGAAAATGCAACACAAGACTTCTTGGTTCACTCTTTGAGTTATGTGCATATTCTTATGAAAGCCCAATGTTGACATGTTGCACTGTCTTTAATCTGCTTTGCATGCACTAATTGGCACTTTCACCGCTGTAAGCAGAATTTTCTTGCCTGAATTAAACGGTTTCACGTGCCAAGGTGTTCAACAGATTTTCCAGCTCAGTCCTTTATTTTTACAGAAAATTCATAAAATAGTTCTCTGGGGAGTTTCACCTCAGTATTAAAAATGCTAAAAGCTTTTTCTTTCAAAGCAGTATTGGCAAGATAACTACATATAACACACTCATTATAAGGATAACTATCAGAAGCTGCATTTATAAGGACAGCTCGATAGACGTGCAAATTACTGAGGAAGTGAATATTTTAAAATGTAAAAAAAAAAAAAAAAGATTCCCGCACATCCACAGTGTTCCAACTCTGAACCAAAGCTTCTCCGAGGAACTCTAAGTTTGTGTCATTTATGGCGCCCTCTTGTGGGAGAGTTCACTCATCATGTCCTCTGCATGCTTGAAAAGTGACTTTTGACAAATTCTCACCCTGCTGACTTCTCACAGTCAAATTTTCCATTTATTATTTACGTGGGAACTGTAAAAAGAGGGCTGTTTAATATGATGCTCGGCTGACACATACCCCCTCACTCAGAACTGTGACTGGAGAGGATAGAGTTTTTTAAAAATAAATTGAAAAAAATAATAATAATAATTTCCATGTTTTAAATGTCAAATTTTGAAGGAATCATTCATTTTAATTAATTCACAGTATGATTTTAAAATTCAAATTTTCAGCTTGTGAGCAGAGTAGTGGGACATTTGGACTAATTGGAAACGTCTCTCAACCATTCATACCGTTGCTAACAGAGTCACTCACCACAAAATTCACAGTTTTGATGACAGATAATATTAGAAATGATAACAAATGCACAAATAGATTATGTATGCAATATAAAGGTAAATAGTTGAATAACTCCGATTAAATTAATAACAGGACTACTTACAGGGATGTCATATCTAATGAATGAAATTCACATTTATTAACTTATTTTTTAAATTAAAAGCTGATTCAATGCAAGAATAACCATGCATGTCATCAGGTGGGTCCATTTTGCAAAGGTTTAAACTGAACTGCTTGTTCCCAGTCAGAAAATGACTGGACCAATTAGCATAATTTGGGTAGAAAGAGATGGTAACTATGATGCATTTTGTTTTGGAGGCAAGAAGCAGCTGCAAGCCTGTAAAAAAAAAAAAAAAAGCGAACCAGGAGGTATGAGAACTGGTCAAATATGCTCCCTTTTGAGGTGTACAGTGAAAACTTGCGGGGTTCATGTTGATGGCACATACAAACGGTGAGTGAAAAACAATAAAGTTATATTACTCCATGTTAGAAGATGATCTTTAGACTGAAATAAACTGAAGCTAACTGCAAACGTGAGGGACAAGTGCAGAGAAGAACTCAGCAGTGCCTTTTCTACGTCACATATTTTGCCACACTGATAGGACTGTAATAAATCTGACTGGCAAAAAATTTGTCCAATCATCCTTCAAATTTTTTTAATGGTTCTGCCCGTTCAAAACACCTCCTGGGCTGATAACCATATAGATGTGCAGTACATCCACCAGATTAGTTTTCAGGATGTTTACTTTTCCAGCCATAGTGTCATGTCTTGCAAAACATTTCTCATTTTGTAGAATAAGGCTTTAGTAACATTCAAAATCGAAGTCCTGCTGCAGTGATTCCAGTCTCAGTCCACTTTATTCAGTGAGTGACAACTCAAAAATTCTTAAAATGTGGTCTGCGATTGCCTGATGTTGACTCTATACTCAGTTTTATTTCAGTAAAGCTGCATTAAATCTACATTAGACAAACATTTTTGCACACTGAGTGTTGTGATAAAATGATTTTAGTCTCATCCTGAACTGTAAGTATGCATTTATGTAGCGTGTAGGGAAATATTTAACTGCCTTTAACTGTTAAAAAATAAAGCTGAAAAACACAATAGAAGCTGAGCAAAACTGTGTGCAACAGCATACATGGGGTGTGAGCAGACTGTAGGCAGAGACATGATGGGCAGGTGCTCATATACATAATAATTTGATGCATCCTCCGCTCTTCTGTGCTGAGGCAGGTGCTGCCTTAAGAAAAACCTTCATCATCACCTGCTCCATGTTCTGGAGGCTGGAGGCAGCTCTCACAGTCATCCTCTCATAATGGTGTAGAGTGTTAAAGTCATTTGGAGGAGATATGCAGACCCGAGTGCAACAAGTTAGTTTGGTAATGATCACCACGGGGACCTTGAACCTCTGGGTTAAATTGGCGATAACAAAAATCAGAAAGGTGAGATGTAGAAACTTCAGCAATAGCCTGCTCATTGATGTGACTCAACAGGGGGGCATTGGTGTCCTGGTATAGCTGTTTGGAGAACAGCTGGTAACCCGTGGCTGCAAATTGCCTTTACATCAGCCTCATGGAGCTGTCTTTTCAGCACCACAGAAGGAAACTATCTATGAGCAAGAACATGAAAAACTAGAGATCATGGCTGTTGTATTTGACTCAAACAGATAAGCAAGAGTATTATTATGTCACTGTGCTTGTGTGTGACAAAGGAGTCAGAAGAGACAAAAGAGTCAAAGGACTGCAAGGGGCAGAATTAAAAAATGAAAATTAAAGAAACACGGCATCAACCTATGGTAAGAACATAGCAGATGAATACTGCAGTGTTTGATATTTTCCTCACCTGTACCAGTCCAGTCCTCTGTCATAGTTCCTGTCGAAAAAGTGCGGTTCTGTTCCAAGTGCGCGCACATCTGGATGTATCCGGATGAACTCCAGCACCGCCCGAGTGCCTCCTTTCTTTACCCCGACTATTAACGCGTTAGGCAGCTTCTTATTCCCATATTTCTGCGCCACACTCATATTTCTCAACTTCATGTCAGCCCAGTGACCCCCAGACGAGTCAGGAGCTTTACTTTGCTCGCGGGCATCACTCGATCCTCGCTGGGCAGCGGACACATCCAGAGCGGACCTGACTTCCAGCGAAGCGCAATTGTCCAATCTCTCAAGAAGTTTCTTCCCTCCTGCGTTCTTGTTCGGCGGGCATCTTTTCCCCTCGTAACCCTGATTTGTCATGATTGTGCCGCGGCAGAAAATGATACTATAGCATAAATAGGTGCAGGACAGTGACACAGTGAATATGAAGGCGAATCTGGCGCTGAATCTGTTCGCAGATGAGAGGAACCTATGTGCCATGTCTCCATGGGTTCAACGCGCTGCATGATTTTCCATCGGAGTCTTCCTCCTCTCTTGGTCTGCAGTCGGAGTCTGGCAACAATAAAGGTTGTAAAGTCAGACAGACTGGCATATGAGGGTAGGGGTGGCTTCTCGGAGGCATCAACTGCGCGTAAGTGCCGGTTGTTCTTTTCATAGGCTGCCTAAAGGTGTGAGAAACTTGGGGCAGAATATGATTACAGCGCCTTGGAGGAGACAAACAGAGACAAACGCATTTCAACAAGTTTGGCTTGAGTTTGAAGTCAATTATTCGGATCAGTTGCTGGTTTCACTGCCTTAAAACGAATCTCAGAGGTGTTTGGCGTCCATCTTCGTTCTTCAAGTCATGTAAATGGGAAGTCCGACGCGTCCTCAGAGTCCTTAAAAGTCCCACCAGCGTGATTAGTCTCCTCGTCTCAGATGGTATCGCGATGCTTACTTCAAGTTTCCGTTTCACGATGAAGTTGTGGAGATAAATGCACTTAGGCTGACGGCTATAAATGTTTAATCTGCCCTCTGACGTCAGGAGTTGATCATAATTCTATATGCGTTTGGTCTTTTAAAGGAATATGCTGTATATTTTTGGTCACATCTGAAGTTACAGATTCAACACTTTACATTCTGAGTGGCAAATTCTACTGAATCCTCAGATGCACGGTTTCATATTGCACATTTAATTAATAACATGTCTGATATAGAAGGAGATCAGGGAAACAAGTTGAAAGCAGCTGCTGACAGTTTTGCTATCACTTTTCTTTTGCTCTAACATGTTTTTTTTCTTCTTCTCTGAAACAGTATGATTTATCAAGGCTGAACATTCAGTCAGTGTTCTCTGTAAGCACAGCCTTAGCAGCCTCTCAAAGTCAAGATCACACTTGATCCTCTGTGTTGCCATCGTGCAAGCTGAATGGAGGAATGCAAACTTTTCAGCCCTATCAATGGAAGGTTGAGTTGGTTACGTCCTTGAATAGCGAACACAATATTCAAGTGCTTCTGATTTTGAATACTAAAATATGAATAGTGAATCTGTTTCTATAGATGTTACTACGGGGGCCGACACTTGTATATATGTATGTTGTGTTTGCTGCCTTTTGGCCATGACTCCCTTGATAAAGAGGTTCTCAATCTCAATGGGATATTTCCTGGTTAAATAAAAAGATTTATGATGCAGAAAAGGATCTCTAAAGCTCAGAATATTGAACAAAAATACAATCCAAATCAAATACAACAACAATAACTTTCTGCAAAAGAAAAATGAAGCTTTACAAAGTGGAAAAAGTGCATTTACAGAAAACATGCTGCAAATAAATTATGCAAAGTTGAATGAATAGATACATAAATAAAACAAACTCAAGAATTAAAGTCAGCAGAGAAATGATTCATACCATAACAGTCATCAAAATGACAGCTCTCCAGGCCTGTAGGGGGTGCCATATGAAACATCTGAATTTATTAATCACAAAAATAAAGATACCACTGGTGGGACAACAAAAGCAGAATAATTCTTAGAATAAAGGTCCTTACACACCGGGGCCGGCATGAATATAGAACGCGAAATCACAAAATATTCGGAGGCGAATTTTGTCGCGCCTGCCGACATACATCAAGCCTGATGCGATTTTGCAACTTTCCGGGGGGAAAAGACGCATCCCGAGGAAGATTTTTCCTGTGGAAAGTCCCGCCTCCTTCGCCTCTGATTGGCTAGAGAAGATGGAAACTTCATCACACGCTCAAGCCAAATGGTCAGCATTTATAGCCAATCAGAGGCAAAGGAGGGCGGGACCTTCTCTTAACAACCAGCATCCCGGCTGGAAGCGAGAAGACAAAAATGGAGTCTACTTCAGCTTCAAGTGATGGCAAATTGGTACTTCTTTTGCTTTCTCAAAAAAAAAAAAAAAAAAACGTAGCACATGGTTGCATCCAATATTACAAAAACGAAGAGAACTTGGTGAGTTTCACTGCTTGGTTCAGGAGCTGAAACTGTACCACGGTCGCTGATTGTTTTCAGTTCTGATTAGACGCTCGTGTTTCTGTCATGATAGCAAATACTGAGTCGGGGCCAGTACCAGATAAGCACATGAAACTATGGTAACAACCGTTAGATTACATTAGCACAGATGAAAGTTAAAAGAAAGATGATTAGCAAACTGTTAAAGCACACAAACCATTGTCATATGAGAGATCTGACGCTATGACTCACCACAAGATGTCCTTCAGGTCGTTATCTTTGTAACATTTGTGTCTTTTATCAAAATGCACTCTGTTTCTGACACGGAAACGATCAACCGGTCGGCCATGTTGGATTTATCGGTGGATCTGACGTCGCAACAACACGCAATCTGATTGGTCAGAAGTGGACACACATGATGATGTAAAATCATATAAGTTTCAAAGAAAAGTTATATTATTTATCATAAAATTACAGCTGCATTTTATTACTTCTTTATTTCAGTAATATTGTGACTGTGGCTTGTTGAATCTTTTTTCTTAAAGTGGCCCCAAGACTCTGTCATCCGCTGGATCAGGGTATTCCCGCAGACTGAATTAGATATGAATAAATAATTAAATAGCTAAGCAAGTAAGTAATTTGATAAATAAATGAACAAGAATCATATGTTTAAATTGATGTTGGAAAAAAACTGTAGTTCAGGGAGCAGAACTAGATTAAGTTCCGTACCAAGTTTGACCTGGTAATCATACAATCTTAAGCTTACAAAACAGACTCTACAATATTATTACAACACATAAATGTAATATCAAAGACATATAACTATTGGAATTAAAAAAAGTATATACCACTATGAAACATGAGTCTTAGTAAAATAATGTTTAAATTGGGGCAGCAGTAGCTCAGGAAGTAAAGCTGTCATCCAATAACTGGTAGGTTGGCGGTTTGATTCCCCCCTATCTCTAGTCTGTCCGCTGAGTTCTTGGGCAAGACACTTAACCCACCTCGCTCCCAGTTTACGTCCTCCACTCGTGTATAAATGTGAGTGTTGTGCGTTGGTGGTGGTCGGAGAGGCTGTTTCCATCATTCTGCTTCAGGGAAGGTGTGACTACTAAGGTAGTTTACCACCACCAGGGTGTGACTGTGTGAGCGAATGAATGATGTAAAGCGCTTTGAGGGTCTCTGATAAAGCGCTTTAAAATCTGATGCATTATTATTAAATAGTAAAAGTTACAAAGCAATGCCAAAGCTAATATTTTTGTGTTAATTTTATTCTTTATTTTCATGAACTGTCCCTTCTTGAACAAACTAAAAACGAAATATTAAAACCAAAAAAATTAACCGAGAAAAGATTTAAGGAAACATGATAATACCACAAGATAAGAAGCAAGAAGAACCAGAGAGGCCCCCTAACTGACTGAGATTACAACCACAAGACCTCTACAGGATGATGTGAGGGCGCTCCTGATGAAAGTCTTAGGCAGATGGTACATCTCACAGATGGTAATGTTTACAATGTCTGCATAACAGCTACTTCTTACACATGTACAGTATAGCCTGAAAATGAGAATGCATTGTCAACATAGCAAATTGAATTTTTGAACAGGTCACTATGACCTCGGCTTAGTCTCCCCTTGGTCTCTGCTGTTTAACTTATAATCACGGTATGAAATGCATAGCTTGTACCGAAGACCTTTGAGGCTTTCCTCTTTACTATTGCAAAGCTAAGAGTGCGAGAGCATTTCTGAAAACAAATTGGACTCTCGTCTAATCATACAGCCCCTAAACGTTTGTAAACTTGTGCTTTTGTTTTGAGTATCTACTGATATACTTGGACGAGAAGCTTTTTGTAGAAGTCGACCATACAAACTTTAAGAAATGACATCCTCTCTCACTCTGATGATAATGGAAAACATCTTTAAACTCAATTATTAAAAAGGGAGATTGGGCATGAATAGAGGCAGGGACAACAAGTCTCTGAAAAAGTACTGAAATGTCAAAAAAAAGCTCTAAGAAGTAAATAAAACTGCAAATAATTCAACAACTATTGAGTTTTTCCTCATGAAATGGCAAAGAATTTATGGATTCTACAAAACACCTGAAGAAGATGAACAGATTTTATGTTCAAGGTGTGTGTTGATCCTCTAGTGTCTGAGGGAAGAAAATACCTCTACATGCTTGAGGTAGAGGGGAGGAGTTTGACAGGCAGACCAGAGATTTTCAAAGGAATGAATGGAGTTCTACTTGACTCGGGTCAAAGCACATTTGTATGTGACACCATGCATCAGACCAGTCGTGGACTCAGAACATCATCATTCGGCAAAACTGTCTTTCTTCAGTGAAGTTTTCAGCAGCTGTATTTTAGTGCCCTCTCAGCAACAGTGATATAAGACACTTGGAGGTGAAGGAACTCGGTGCAGAGTTTTTTGGCAGTATAAACTTACTGCTTCAAGGTAAACAGCTCTTTGGGAGGGATAAAGCACGCAAGTGAAAGAAGCTGCTACCCTGAAAGGTTAAAAATGATTAAAGTGTGCTTTACTGTATCAGCTGAAAGGGGGAAATTGGAGAGGTGTGAGGGGTGAAGGTGAAACTGCTATAAAAATGAAACCGAACACATTTAACCAGCCTGTGCTTTGATGTAACTCTACATTTCTGAAGTACGGCTGTAATCAGTGCTCATTGAAGCCAGATTATAAAGGTTTTAAATGAAGGTGAGACTATATATAAATAGCAGCATGTTATTATAAATTGTAGGGGTAATGCTGTTTCTTTTTAAAAAGACAAACTGAATCATTTGGGAGAGCATTTGAAAATGTGTTGCACAAAATATGAGTCAAAAATTCTTGGATTTACTGCAGCATTAACAGACAAACAGTTGGACCCCAGTGGGCTCTACTGCACAATGCTACTCTGTCCTTCAGGACGATAAACAAGAGTCAAGGTTTTCATACACAGCTGAAGCTCATGTACTTTTATAAGCTCCTCCATCAGGTGACTACAGGAACATCTCACCTGCAGCTCATGCTGAACGATATCAGTCAATAAAACCAGCGCTAAAGGGTTTCAGCCAAATGGTCAGACAGTCCATTGGAAACAATCTTTTTTAATCTTGAGTATTAGAACGACAAATAAGTGCTTGGTGGATAAAGTAATAACATTCAACACTGAAACCCTTCCAGTAAATGCTGCAGGACTTTAATTCTCAGACCAACTGATTTGATAACATAACTTTGTCGAAAGCAAATTGAAAACATGTGAATCTTCGCCTCTCACCTCTGTTTGGGTGTCATTTCAAGAGTGCATCTGTGAGGCTGGCCCAAGGACTCTCACTTTTGTACTGCTTATAAATTCTAGCACCGAAATTGAAGGACACAAACGGTTGAATGTTTATCACTTTTTTTGGTCATTATTAATCTGTTTTCATGATCCAAACAGTCAAATTCTGCTAGTATTTTGGCTTTTGCTTCATCACTGGTCTGGTTTACATAGTTGGAGAGGGGTCAATCATATTAACATTATATACATAAAAAAGCCCCAAGAAATAAAGTTATGCATACGAGATAATCGCTTTAAATTGGAAAGGCTTCAAATAAACTTCCGAA